CGGCGTGCTCACGTGGAGACTGTGTACAGGCATGCTGACATATATTGAGCAACCTGCTTGGACCTCCAAACTGAGCCTGCTTGGAACCAAAGGAAGGACTGGAGAACTCCTGAGTACAGATCGATGCCACCCTAAGTTATTCCCAGGATCCAGTGCTGTTGAGACCTTCATGTCCAGCTGACTCCTTTCTCCTGGGGCACACTGCAAGGCAGAAGTGCATGGAACAGATGGTGGGAAAAGGGATGACTTGGGTCTCTGGTTAAGGCTCCCACCAAATGCTGAGTAATCACCACCCTTGGGTCAGGTCAGCTGTGACTTTGTAGATCTGAAACCTGAAAACCACTACAGATGGAGATCACAGAGGGTCTCTGGGGATCCTGCTGCGGTGTGGCATCACCCCCCAGTCAGGTTTTCATGAGGCCCAGTCTGAAGCCCCCCAGGTTGCCTCTGCCATACCATCTGTCCTGACTGACAACTATATTCTGCCCCAGTGCAGAACTTGCTCCCATCACCTTGTAAAACATTCAGAGGTTTCTCTTTGCCAATTCCCTACATGTGTCGAGGTCCCTCTGGACTGGAACTCCAATACGCCAACATTTAAGGTTTGTGGGCAAGTGTCTCAAACAAGATAATAATGTGGGGAATTGCAGGACACTACAAGTACTGAAAGAGAATGCTGTGCTTAATGGAGTTGCTACCCAAGGTTGAAAAGTCCCTCAGCAACCATCTAACAAATACCAAAAGAGAAAATGAAACAAGAAACACATGGCCGATGTGCAAAGGCTTAATAGTGGAGGCTGTTCATTTTGGAGGGCATTAGGATAATAAGAGAATCACTTGTCATTTCAAAGAATGAAAAGAGAAGCTAAGGATGCTGTTGGCTGCCTTTGCTGGCGTCTCCTGTTTTCCTTGATGAATTCTAAGGACCACGAGAGCCTTTCCTGCATAGGTGCTACCCAGCCACACAGCCCCTGGCCTTTGTCATATCAGGGGATGAGTGTGCCTCAAAGGCACAACTTCAAATTCGTCTTTATTGGACATCATGGTGTTACTTTTTCCCATAACTCTGGCCAGTTTTAGGGCTTTGGGATGTCAGGCCTGCCCTGCAATGTAGCGTCTGCTCTCCTCAATATGGCGTCATCTATAAACAGTCTGAAAAAGCACTTTCTCATCTCCTCTAGGTCATTAAAAACTGGTTAAACAGAGAAAGTTGCAGGACAGAACCCTGCAGGACCCTGCTAGCTACAGGCCTCCAGCAGAGTGTCATGCATTGACCACATCCCTCATCACCCATCTTGTTATTTACCCATCTACTTATCCACACATGCAAACCATAATAATGTGACTTGGGCACAAGGATATTACAGGAGGGGGTGATGTTGCCAACTTCACTGACTTCCAGGTTAAAAAACAGCCACTGCTCTCCCCTGTCCAGCAATCCTGTCCTTTCATTGCAGAGAGCAAAGCAGATGGCGAGAGACAAGGGACGCTGAGTAAATCCAGTCCCCTTCTCTTTCAGACACCCAGAAATGGGATCCAAGGGAACAGTCTCTGGGGCACAGCCTTTCGCTCCTCTGCACAGCCTTTGGGCATTTTGGAAAGGTGCATGCAACCCGTCGATATCATTTCCCCCATTGTCAGGGAGTTCCCACAGATTCCATGACCTTTCAAAGGCAGTGGAGAGTGGCTTCACTGTGACATTGGCCTGCTCACTCAGCTTCCTGGGAGGCTGCCCCTCCTCTCCCAGAGACTGGTAAGGAGTGCATTTGCTCAAGTGATCCCTGACTTGTTCCCCATCCACCGCTGTTTGATCTCCGCCAGAGTCCTGCCCTGAGTCACAGAGGCCTGGGGAACCTTTCTGGGAGAGACTGAGGCGAAGAGGACACAGCAAAGCTCAGATCTGTCTACACCAGCTCTCACTAAATTCAGCAGTGGCCACACAGTATCTTTGTTTCTTCCTTAACTGCACCTGAAGTAGCACACACTCATTGTGGTGCCCTTCAATTACCTTTCGAGGTCAGACTGAGTTTAGATCTGGACCCTTGCTGAGCTTGGAGGCTGCTGTCCTTGAAGAGCAGCTGTCCTGAGCTGTGCAACCATGTCACAGCTGTGTCTCCTCAGGAATGGCACCAGCTCTTCCCATCTGTGCCCCTGGTTGAGGGCATTTCTGCACATTTGGGCTGAAGCCCTGCAGCTGTGGAACCAGGCAAGCTCTGACTTGCCATAAGGAACCCGATACCAAGATACCATGACCCCACGTGTGCAAAGCCTTTGCTTCAGAGCAGAGACATGGCATGGACAAAAGAGAGCTGCATATCTTTTTAGCCACAGGTCTGAAGTCCCAGGATGAAATGCCTAAATTCACTCAACAGAACACATCGTCTCAGCTTGGAGAACTCAGGTCTTTCCTTGTCACCTTCCTTGTGTCCTGTCTAATGATGGGACCAAAGAAGTGATTCTCATGGCTAACTCTTTTTCTAAAAGGAGCAATGCCACTGCAGGAAAGTAGTGTCTCTTGCCAGCTGAGGGAGGAAACATCAGGGATTGCTTCAGCCTGTGTCACAGCAGGTTCCCCTGCAGCCCCAGGGACACCTGGAGGGAGCCCAGAGGGGGCAGAGCAGGTGCTGCCTTGGGCTGGTCCTCTGCTGCTGAGCTGGGCTGGGCTCCTGGGATGGAGGGAGTTCATGGCAAATGGGCAGCGCTGCAGTGAAACAGCTCTGCCCAGGAGCAGCTCCTCTGCAAAGCGCAGCAAGGCTGAGGACACTGCCTGCAGGCACCGAGGGGAGAGGAGTGAGGCAGAGAGAGGTTAAAGTCAGTCTGGAGTGGGAGGATGCTGAGAGCTCGCTGGGCGAGAGACCTCTACAGCCCTCTTCCTGGTAAGTCTCTGGATGCAGGACAGTGTAGCTGGTGTTCCTGGAGGGATATCCTAAAGCTGATACATCCCACAGCAGATATGAGCTTTCAGGAGGACTCTCAGAGTTTTCAAAGTGTAGAGGAGGAGGACGTGATGCAGAGCAGGGCTTCTCTTATGCACCATCAGAAGGACAGGGCATGATGGCTGCCTTCTCCCAGGGACCTCCCCAGGGTTTTAATGCTGAGTGTGCAGCCAATATTGCACAGGGCTCTGCTTCAGAGCAGGGTCCCTGCACCCCAAGGGGCTGCGTGCCAGGACAAGGACTCTGCCACCTGCCAGGGTCAGCACAATTCTGTGGGGAGAAGCTGTGGGTGGAAGGACTGACCACTGGAGGGGCATGATCCTCCTGCTGTTGAGAGGATGAAGCATGGGTCAGGGCTACCCAGACTTCTACATCACCAGGAGACATTTGCAGATTGGTCATTTTAAAGATGGATGTCAAGGTAGGGCATCCCCTGACAGGGTAGAGATCTGTGCTTTCAGTTTTCTCCTTGTGATTTTCTGGGTGAGCAGTGGGAGATGGGAATTTATTTCTCTGCTCTGGGGTAGGCAATGAGAACCCAGTTCTCATTAGCATTTGTCTGAGCTGCTCCTTCCCTCCTGCACACACAGAGATGTCCCCGGGCAGTGCCCTGCTGCCAGGAGGAGTCTGCAGGGCAGAGCTGAGCACACAGCAGGAGAGATGGGCTCTGTCAGCATGCAGAGGGAGGAGATGTGGGGAGAGAGAAACAGGTCTTTACCAAGAAGAGCTCCAGGCAGCAGAGCCATGGGCAGGAAGGAAGAGAGAACTGCTGCCAGAAATGCTATGGGAGGAGGGATTCAGGCATCTCCCTGCCATCCCGTGCAGTGCAGACGCTTTCCCGGGAGCCCGTCCCTGGTCTCCTCACTCACACAGCAGAGCCTCTGCCCTCAATGTCATGGAGACTTGGCCATGAGTTGCCTTCCCAGCAGACTGACCAGCAAAGAGGAGACAAACTCCAGTGTCTGACTGTGTCTTCCTCTCCTGCCTCCCTTTCAAAGGGGTACTTGGGCATCTCCTCCTCTTCTCCTTGCCTCCGTTGCTCTTACTGTTACACTCACTGGGGTGTTCGGGGGGTGTGAGGATTCAAGTGCAGCTCAGACACCAACGCTGTCTGCACTGCCATGCACATATGTCCATGGAGGAAAAGCATCCCACTCGCCCCCTGTGAACCTCTGGGGCTCTGGGTACCGCAGTGTGTGCGACTGGCAGGGATCTCAGCTTCTCTTCAGGTCATAACAAAGGAAAGAGATGGGAGTCTTTCCTTGGGACGTCCTGCTGGGCTGCAGGCTGCCCTCTAGTAGGGCAAAGCTCTCCCATGGCATCTCTATGTTATGCAGGAGCCCCATGGAGAAGACCCCTGGGTGCTGAGGCCACGGAAGTGCTTCTGGATGGCTGTAGGTGGGCAGCTACCATGAGCCCTCGATGTCCCTGGCTGGGGGCTCAGCAGAGCTGAGATCGTCCTCAGCTACACTGGGCTGAGTGGTCTGGGGATCTGCACTTGGCAACTGGATTCCTCTGCTCCCAGCAGTGCCCTGTTTCTTTTGGGGGGAACTCCAAATTGTGATAGTCCTGCACCTGAAAGAGCTGCCAGCACAGGGCATCTGAGACCAGGGCTGATGGACAGAGCAGCTGTCCTCCCTCTGCACCAAGGGACAGCCCCTTTGCCTCTCCGGACCGACAAGATTTCCTTGGCAGTGCAACAGAAATCCCAGGGATTTCTGCATGTAACCCACTCCTCAGGTGTGGTGGGGCAACTGGAAGAGAAAACACAAAACAAAATCCCCACAGCTCTGTTCTGGATTTGATGAACTGGGGGCAACAATGCTGAAAATCTGTTTTATAGCAGGAGAGGATTTAACTTGACATCACTCTGTTCCAGAGCCTCCTGCTCCCTGGGAACCCTCAGCCAGCACCAGCCAGAACTCATTAAAAGCCTTCTTGAAAAGGAAAAGTGAATTTGTGAGGGTTCTGTAAGATATTGAATACATTTTTCTAAAAGAATTCTGCCCTAAATTCTCACTTCCTTTACCTCTTTGAACAGATCGCAATGCCCAGAGGGATCAAATGTCCAACATCAGCTCCATCACCCAGTTCCTCCTCCTGGCATTTGCAGACACACGGGAGCTGCAGCTCTTGCACTTCTGGCTCTTCCTGGGCATCTACCTGGCTGCTCTCCTGGGCAATGGCCTCATCATCATCACCGTCGGCGCCCCCCCCCTCCACCCCCCTATGTACTTTTTCCTTCTCAACCTCTCCCTCCTTGACCTGGGATCCATCTCCACCACTGTCCCAACATCCATGGCCAATTCCCTCTGGGAGACCAGAACCATTTCCTACCCTGGATGTGCTGCCCAAGTCTTTCTGCTTTTCTTTTTGATGTCAGCAGAGGTATATCTTCTCACTGTCATGGCCTATGACCGCTACGTTGCCATTTGCAAACCCCTGCACTATGGGACCCTGCTGGGCAGCAGAACTTGTGTCCACATGGCAGCAGCTGCCTGGGGCAGTGGCTTTCTCAATGCTGTCATGCACACGGCCAATACTTTTTCCATATCCTTCTGCCATGGCAATGCCGTGGACCAGTTCTTCTGTGAAATCCCCCAGATACTCAAGCTCTCCTGCTCAGATGCTTATCTAAGGGAGGTTGGGCTTCTTGTGTTTAGTGTCTGTATTACATTTGGGTGTTTTGTTTTTATTGTGGTGTCCTATGTGCAGATCTTCAGGGCTGTGCTGAGGATCCCCTCTCAGCAGGGACGGCACAAAGCCTTTTCCACGTGCCTCCCTCACCTGGCCGTGGTCTCCCTGTTTATCAGCACTGGCATGTTTGCCTACTTGAAGCCCCCTTCCATCTCCTCCCCATTCCTGGATCTGGTGGTGGCAGTTCTGTACATGGTGGTGCCTCCAGCAGTGAACCCTCTCATCTACAGCATGAGGAACAAGGAAATCAAGGATGACTTACGGAATCTGATCCAATGGGTGCTGTTTCATCATGCTGTAACAGCTTTCTTACAGACATAAATTCATTCCAATGAGGGTAGATAACAAATCTTGATAAAATGTATAGTTCAGTTGTGATAGTTGACGAGATGTGATAGGAGCTGAAGAGTTAAAGTTGCATCCTATTATTTCAGTAAATTTACAGATGTGGATATTTGGGTGATTGGTTATAACTACAGTGATATTGCCTACAGCCATAAAATCACAGCAGGTTCTCATACAAACACATCCATCTCCTATATACACAAGCACAGAGGTTTTTGTCAGGATGTATCTCAAAATGGCAACCACTTTGTTCAGTGTCAAGACAAATGTCTTGGGCTTTAATGGCATTGCTTGCACAAATCAATCCTTGTTCTTCTTGCACCACTCATCCTTCGACATCAACAGTCTGCCATTTGTTTCCCTTGTGTTGGAACACACTCTGTGTTCCATTGGGTAGAGTACCGTTCCATTCTGATTTAATCCCAGTGCGATGATTTGGTGTATGGTGTCCCTAACCTCAGACCTTACCTCTAACCCAAAGCCAGAACCCATAACCCCTCTTCCTCTTACGCTATTCATCACCCTAATCCCTATCCCTTATCCCTACTATTAAAATGCTGGCCTTAGCCACCGCCCTCACCCCAGGCCTAAGCAAAACCCGAATCGACAAAGCTAGCCCAGGCCCTAAACATGAACCAGACACCTTCAGCAGAACACCACACCCTCCCTCTAAGCCTTTGCCCAATCCCTAAGCCAGACAGGTGAGCTCTATTCGCTAAGCCCTACCCTGAACACCTAACCCCCACAGCCCTCCTTCCCACTCTCTAACCCCTCCATCTTTGTCCCCTCTCCTAACCCGAACTTCAGCTGCATGGCCCGTTGAAGGCAAGGCAGGGATCGTGACATCCCAGAGCAGTCCCACAACGTTGGCAGAGACATGTGAAGTTATGTGCATCTGATCTGCTCACAGGCCACAAGGAGGAGATGGGTGGGAATGCTATGGTGAGGTCAGCTGCACCTCAGGATCTCATGGGCAAGCAGGAAACACATGGCTGTGAAGGTGTCTGTGAGGTCACATCTGTCTCTGGAGTTGATAGGCCAGCAGAAGGCACATGGTTGTCAAGTTGACTGTGGGATTCCCTTTCCCTAAGTACCTGGTAGATCCACCCAGGAAGAGGGCTTGGATATGGTTGTCATGTCCTTTCTGCCTGAGTACCTGATGGGACAGCAACAGCCACGTGGTTTGGTTGTGTTTATCTGAGCAGCTGAAAGGCCAGCAGCAGGGACGTGGCTTGGAAGATTACAGTGAAGTTGCCTCTGTCTGGTCAGCTGATGCAGCAAGCCTTGCAGATCCTGTGTGTAGAAGCGTTGTCCCATTTTGCTCCTGTAAGCTCTTCTACTGTTTTCTGAGAAAGAAAAAAAAAATCAAGATTTTGAATACTGCCCCCACAAGAGGCTGTTCCCATGGGAATTGGCTGTGGCAGCTTTAGATACAGGTAATGACATGCCAGTGACCTAATCACTGGTACCAGGTAGGAGCTGCCTGCAGACGTGGAGCACAGCACAGCACAGGCCTGGGTCTACTCAGGTTCCCTGTTGCATGGATCACTAGCTCCTTTATGTACAGTGGTCTGGTGAGGATCCCAGCACAGCCTGAGGAAGGTTAGGAGAGGATGAGTTGTGCCCAAAGGCAGTTGGAGAAAGGCACACAATTTTAGGAGCTAGTAATCACTAAGAATATGGAAGACCATGGACCTCTGCTAGAAGGCCACGGTTGAAGGGAAGATGGAAGTTGATCCGTGACCCAACATGGTTGGAAATGCTCTCCTGGATATGTTTTTCAGGGAAAACAAGGCAAGACTGGTAGAAGATATGGAGGGGAGTTTCATTGCAGTGTGAGTGATGTGGAACAGTAGAAAACCGTGATGGAAGTGAGCAAGAAAAATCATAGCAGGGCTGAGCAGAGTGTAAGGATGATGTCCACCCACCTGCAGTGGTGGTGCTCTTCCTAATGCAGCCCAGGATGCTGTTGGTCGCTATTGCAGGCATTGCTGCTCAGATGCAAGGCTGCTTGGCAAGTACATTGAACAGGCCTGATTTCTTCCTAGACTTCACCTTTTCTTGTCTTTTTCCTTTTTGGCCCACTCACAATTTCTTCCCCTTACCCATCCTTGTACACACCCATTCCAATAGCCCATCTCTCTTTTTATCCTTTCCTCCCTGGCCCGCGTTTGGCTTCCTTTGTCCCCTCATTTGGTCTGACTCCCTAGGGACAACTGTCCTCCACACCTCCCCAACCCCGCCATTTCTTTCAACGGCCCCCTGGCACTTCCATCACTCTTCCTGACATCAGACTTCTCCACTGAAGTCTGCAGCTGCAGGTTACAGCTCCTTTGCACCATCTCATCCTTGCTCTCCTTAGAGAACTGAAAGCACACAGGCACTGAGGGATGTTTCCCTATTGGCAAGCAAAGAAAAAGCAAAGCGTGACCAAGTTCCATAAACAAAACTCACTCTGCAAGCACATGCTCAGTATGGGCTGCCTCTAATGAGGTTGCCTTTCGACAAGGGGTAAGCTTAGGAGAAATATTTTAGGCAGGTCGATAATCAAAGGTAGATGGAAACACAATTAGAGTTTGCTGAGGAGACAATTAGACTACTGAAAGACGGGTAAATTTCTAACTGCCTGATGTCAAAGCAGCAACTGGCTGGGTGACAGGAATGTGACTAAGACTAAGGGGAGCAGAAAACTGGAGAACAATGGAAAGGGCCTTTGCCTAGGCAGTCTGCATCTGAAATGGTGATGTAAGAAATGGTTTTCTATCAAGACAGGTGAAAATACGTGAAAGATTAGAGAAATTAAATACACTGTAGAACAGGCAGAACAGTGGTAATGATGTTACACTGGGAGATGGATATTTCTTTGGAATATCCCTCTTGAAAAGCCATGGGATTGGTAGAGGTCCCTTGCAAGTGAGGACAAGCCAATGTTGCACCCATCTTTGAAAGAGGCCACAGTTGCGACCCAGGCAACCCCATGCTGTACAAGCTCACTGTGGTGACGAGTGTGCCTTGGCATGAGTGCTCTTGGGTGACATTTCTGGGCGCCTAAAAGAGGAGAATATGTCCCAGTGCAGTCAGCATGGATTATCCCAGGGTAAATCATGCCTCACCAACCTGATTGCCTCCATGAAGAAGTAACTGCTATTCTGCAGAAGGGGAGAAGAGTGGATGTCATTTACCTCCACTTCAGCAAGACTTCGGGCATGATTTCCCTCAATATCCTTGTACCCACGTTAGGCCATGATAGTCTGGATGGGGAGACAAAGAGCTGGATAAAACACCAGTGGGATGATGAGGCTGAGTGAGCAGCACTGAAGGCATCATCCCCTCCCTGGAGGCCAGTGGGAACATTGTGGGGCAGGACAGGGGACTCTCCATGTATCCATGACTTGGAGGACGCAACTGTCACTATGTTTGTCAGTGGCACGAAATTGGGAGGAGCATTCCTGTGCCCTAGGGCTGCCCTTCAGGGGAAACCTGGCCGTCAGAAGGACTGTCCTGTCAAGATGTGATGAGATAGAAGCAAGACAAAGGCTTGCTGTCTATCCTGTGCCTGGGATAGCCTAACGCCCTGCAGTGGCAGGGCCTGGGAACTGCCTGGCTGGGGAGTAGCTCTGTGGAAAAGGCCCTGGTGGTGCTGGGGGACACAAGGCAAAACCTGATCCAGCAGGGCAACCTGGTAGCAAAGGCAGGCAGCAGTGTCCGGGAGTCTCACCAAAGGAGTGAGGGAAGTGATTGTCTCCCCCTGCTCAATGCTCATTAGACCACCTGTACACTGCTGTGACAATTTTTGTGCCCCCACTGGGGAAGGGGAGGAGGGAGTGAGCACCTGTGGGGCTTCTGGGCCCTTGGCCAGAGGTAACCACCACAGCAAGGAAGATGTTGATAATTGGCAGCGAGTTCAGTGGAGGAGAGTCATTGAGATGCTCAGGAGCTGGAGCACTCGTCTGGGAGGAGAAACTGAAAGGAAGGGCCTTGTTCAATCTGCAAGAGGGAAGGGCTTGGGAACCTCCCAGAGACCTGCCAGTCCCTACAGGGGCATGGGGTTCAGGAAGATGAAACCAGTCTTATCACCCTATTGCTGGGCAGGAGACTAATAGTCAATAATGAGGTGTTGGAATAAGGAAGTTTCTGGCCAGAGGTAAGAAAATGACATCTCTACAGAACATGGGGTGCTTTAGGCTATAAAAAGAATGTAAACAAATAATCTGTCTCTGGATCTCAGTCAATGGAAAATTTAAATAGTTGTCATGGGAAAGCTATGAGGACCTCATTGAGCTGGAGCTCTCATAAATCGGTCTTGGATGAGAGACCAACAGTGGCAAGAGCTATGGGCTTTGGTGTGTAATAGCTGTCAGTAGGAAATTGGTTCCCTTTTTATTAATGATGGCAGTGGAGCTGGGTATCAGTGAGCCCAGAGTAGGACAGGGGTGACCACGCAGCAAAGGTCCCTCCTCAGGGCTGGGGTGTCTGGCTAGAGATGGAAATGGCTGGTGTGGGGGGCTTATCTGGGACAGCTTTACTGGGGCAGCTTCCCCAGGGTGTCCAGGGAACACGGCACAGACCAGGACCCTCTCTTCTGCCCCTTTGATGCCTTGCTTCCTTCACCATGTCACCTGGCTCTGCACTGTGAGTGCTGGCTGCCCCTACCCTGCACACTCACACAGCTCTACAGCAGTATTTTTCTCTCCCTACGCTCCTTCCAGCCCAGCCCAGAACCTTCCCAGCTCTCCCCACCTCCCCTGCCCTCTCCCCAGACCAGCTAAGCAGAGGAACCCAATCAGCACTGGCTCAACATGCAGGGTGCTGCAGAGCTCTGGGCACTCACCCTACAGCCCCAGCCCCTCTGAAGGGCACAGAAGCTGCTGGGGGCAGAGAGGGAGCTTCAGGATCCCCCATCAGCCCCAGGGCTGGTGCTGGCAAATAGAGCCAAATAGATCCCCCAAGCAAATAGAGGCTACTCACTTCCTGGCTCTCCTGAATTCATATATTTAGTACTTTCCTTTTGGGGGTACTTCACAACTGAGGGTGTTTCACCTTCTCAGTCTCCATACATTCCAACCCCAGGGCACATGGTGAGTCCCCATCCACTCCTCACCCCTCTAAACTCATTTCCAGAGAGGTCGGGATATGCCATAGTTCCTGTCATAAATGAAGCAACCTGAGGAGAAAATGGAGTTATCGAACTATCTCCACTGCCTTTGGACACCATAAACAGAGCCTTTAAATAAAGAACATGCAGTCCAATGGAACCCAACTTTACCATGAGCTTAACTCCCAAAACACTGAGTGCAAAAGGAAAACAGAAACATTAAAAGGCAAATTCTTTACAAATTTTTCTCTGAAGCAAATTTTGGAAGAGCCCAGGCTTCAGGCACTGCACCCATAAGCTGACCTTTTATTTTTAATAGTTGCTATCTCAGGGGCCACAAGTGACACAGTGTTGTGCAAGGGTCAGACACAACAAGATGAAACCTCAAGAGGGAGTATAAACCCAGAAAATTATTTCGAGATAGCATTATCACAAGATAGAAAAGCAGGGTCATGGCCTGCAATAAACTCTGGGAAATGTGCAGAGGAGTTGAGGGAGATTATTGTTGGTGAAACAGCACACTTGGGTCAGTTTGCATACAGTCTCCTTGAGCTTCTGGTTCCTGAATGTTCTGGTTCACGAGCTTTCTCACTTTTATTCTTCTGACTCTCTGAGTCAGAAGAATAAAAGCTCTGAATTTCCAGTAACAATGGTACTGTTGCTCTTGGGCTGTGACACTGGTACCACTGCACTTGGGTTGTGACAATGGTACAGCTCTGCTTAGAATCATAGAATCATTTGCTTGGAAAAGACACAGGATCATCAAGTCCAACCGTACCTGTCCACTATTAAACCATGTCTCTAAGCAGCTTGTCTACCCATCTCCAGGGATGGTGACTTGTCCACTTTTCTGGGAATCTCGTTCCAGTTCCTAATAACCCTTTCAGGGAAGAATTTTTTCCTAATATTTGATCTAAACCTCCCCTGGAGCAATTTGAGATCATTTCCCTGCATCCTATCACTTGTTACTTGGGAGAAGAGACCAACACCCACCTCGCTTCAACCTCCTTTCAGGTAGTTGTAAAGGGCGATAAAGTCTCCCTTCAGCCTCCTCTTTTCCAGACTAAACAACCCCAGTTCCCTCAGCTGTTCCTCATAAGACTTGTGCTCCGGACCCCTCACCAGCTTGGTTGCTCTCCTCTGGACATGTTCCAGCAACGCAACATCTTTCTTGTAGTGAGGGGCCCAAAACTGAACACAGTATTCAAGGTGCGGCCTCACCAGCACCAAGTACAGGGGCACAGTCACTGCCCTGCTCCTGCTGGCCACACACATTGTTCCTGATACAAGCCAGGATGCCATTGGCCCTTTTGGCCACCTGGGCACACTGCTGGCTCCTATTCAGCCACCTCTCGACCAACACCCCCAGGTCCTTTTCCACCGGGCAGGTTTCCAGCCACTCTTCCCCACTCCTGTAGCATTGCGTGGGGTTGTTGTGACCCCAGTGCAGGACCCGGCCCTTGGCCTTGTGGAACCTCATACAATTGACTGCAGCCCATTAGTCCAGCCTGTCCAGGGCCCTCTGTAGATCCTTCCCTCCAGCAGATCAACACTTCCACCCAGCTTAGTGTCATCAGCAAACTTGCTGAGGGTGCATTCTATCCCCTTGTCCAGATCATTGAATGCACCAGGGGTTTACAGACAGCCCAGTTCTGTGTTCTGCTAAGGCCTGGACAAGAAGACAGGCTGGGCAGGGCTGGCTGTTTCCCTGGCAGGCACCGAGTTCAACAGGAGGAAGGAGATGGCCACAGAGCAAACCTCACCCATAAACTGCTGTGAGTGGCCGGTGCTTAACATGGCCGATGGGAAAGGCTGGGGAGTGACAAATGCCCTGGGTACCTTCCAAGTCTCTCCATGCCACCAAGGGAATAGACCAGCCCCCTTGCTCCAGCACCTGCATGTCTTGGCTCCCTTCCTTGAAACCTGGTTCTGCACCACACACCCACTGGAGTGTGCCCTTGCCCTGCAGGGTCACACAGCTCATCCAGCATTAGTGTTTTTCTCTCCTGAACACTTTTCAGTCCATCCCTGCCCCTCCCCAGCTCTCCCCACCGCACCTTCCCTCTCCTCAGCCCAGTCCTGCAGAACAACCTGGTCTGGATTGCCCCCATGACAGTGCCCACCACAGGGTGCTGCAGAGCTCTGGGAAGTCACCCCACAGTCACAGCTCCTCTGAAGGGCACAGCAGCTGCTGGGGGGCAGAGAGGGGTCTCTGCCTGCCTATGAACCCCAGGAATGGAAGTTGGACATGGCAGAAAGAAATGGAGGTCATTGAAAAGGGAGGATCCCTGATCTTGGGTCCAGGAGGTGTCCACCCCTGACTGCCTTTGCCCTGTCAGTGCCAGCCCCTCTCCCCAGGCCAGCACAGGAATCCTTTCCCAGCAGCAGAGCAGCCTGCCCAAGTGGGTGCCTGAAGAAATGAGCTTCTCCTTCTCACTGAGTCCTCCCTGCAAGAAGAGAAAGACTCCTTGCTCTTCTCTAGGAACATCCATGCTCCCCAGAGAACCTCAGGAGGTGGAGGACTGAGCTGGCCTTTATGACTGTTCCTGATTGCTTCCCCACATTCCCCACAGGGTCCTGAGGTGGCATTGCTGCTCTGCAGAGCGAGGGGGCTGTGGTGCCCTGGGTCCCTGGGCCCTGTGCTGGCCATGCTGGCTGGGGTGGGGAGCAGACCCAGCCAGAATAGGATCACTGCTGATGAGTCCCTTTCCATCTTCTCTCATGGCTTAACAAGAAAGCATGGGGCTGGGCAGGACCAAAGGGTGTCTCCAATGGCACAAAGGTCAGGGTATGGCTGCACTAGATCCAGCCTATGAGGCTTTCCAAGACAGTGTCCTGAAATAATCTCCAGTCTTATGTCTCTTTGCCTGCTAGCTCCTCACAGCCACTCCTGGCATTGAAGGGCCCTCATTTGTCCATGGGCTCCTCAGGTTCACCTTTTCCTCTGGGAGATATTACCTTGCGTGGTCACTCATTTTATGAGGTGTCACTCACCCATCCAGACTCATGCACTATCCTTGGAGATTCCCTGAGCTTTCCTGGCAGATCCCAGTTCCTCTACAGGATGGCATCTGCCATCAGCCCCACTGCAGGTGGGACAGTGCCAGGCAGAGAGGTCATAGACCAGTTGCTGTCTGTGTGAGCACGTGCCAGCAAAAAGGAAGCTCTTGGTCCAGCCCTTGGCCCCTAACAGATCATGCTGAAACTCTGAGTTTGTCCCCCTGAATCTGTTGAGAACCCCAGGACATCAAGGGGCCTTTTCAGGGAGCAGGTTCTTTGGTCAATTCCTGGAACCAGCTTTGGAAGAGGCACCCAGTCTTCTGGCCCTGCCCTGAGGAGCCCCTTTGGTCTTGGTTAGCAGGGACACCAGCTCTGACACAGTGGTTCGCATTGCCTGCAGCCACAGGGGTGCCACTGTGGACACAGCAGGACTGCCTCAAGTTACACAAGACTTTAGGGTTAACAGAAATACAAGGGCACAGCTGGACAGAGTGGAAATGAGGAAAGACCAGCACTGAAAGGATAACATCCTGCTGTTGTCCATGGCTTCCGGGAAGCAGCAGCCCCAGCTTGCAGGTGGCAGAAAGGGTCTGTCCACTGAGGCAACAAGGGGCAGCCCCAAGGGCCACCAGGGCTGCTCCTCCATGAAGCAGCTGGGCTCTTGGCTCCTAAACCCCCCTGTAGGCTGGTGCTGCACCCACAGCTCCAGAGGAGAGGTAAGAGATAGGAGCTGAGACAAATAATTTTCTGCTGGTTTCTTTATTGAGTTTGCCTACACAGAGACCCTGACTCCATATGTACATGAGGCCTTTGGGTCAGAAGAAAATATGTAGGAGGCGAAAAACAGAATTATTTAATGGGGAATAATATTATCAGATGTATAAGCAAGAGGAAAAAAACACACCAAAAAATCACAGATATGAACAAAATATAGACCTAGCTTTTCCTGGGATACCCTGGAAGTCTGTCATGGTTTTGGCTGGGACAGAGTTAATTTTCTTCCTAGTAGCTGGCACAGCAATCTGTTTTGGATTCAGTACTAGAAGAATGTTGATAACTCACTGATGGTTTAGTTG